GAGAATAACAAATTTTCACCGTATCGATATAATTTCAAATATACGCCAACTTATTTCCTACCCAAATGAGTCTATTATTCCAAATTTGACTCTAAAAAATATAATCTCTATCGCTGTGTTTGTGGATGGAGTTTAAATTAAGGTTTTTGTGATGAGTAAAGTGCATTAAAGTTAAAATGAATCTTGAAAATTCGTAAATCAAGTATAATATACGGTGAATGTAGAAAATATCAATTTATTCGTGATAGTTCTTCTGGGGGGTGTGTGTATCACAAGATGGCGGCTGTACTGGATTTTTTTTCGTGAAAATGTGGTAGCATTAAAAAAATATGGAAATTTGGGACATGGATGACCGGAGAGAACCAAGAAGTGGTCGTAATAGTGTACAAGGTATTTAGTTCGAATTCAGTGTGATTTTTTCTACAGGGTGTTTCAAAAAACATGTGCCATCTCACGTAAAAATTAGATTCTGCTTTGTTTCGTAGCTACAGGGGGTTAAAATCTTCATTTTTTTATTTATTATAATTTTCTTCTAAGTGCTTTTAGTAATTCGAATGTAATTTTGAGGGTAAAAGTTACTATAAGAGTTGCATATTTTAATAACAAAAAGTGTTGACAGATTCACCAGGGAGTGCATATTTATGAGTTATCATCACTGTAATATTTTTATAAAAAAAAGATGCGCACCACTTACTTTTTTTTCTTAATTTGAAAGATGTGATTTGTTTAAATGGATACCGTATGGTCGAAAAAAAAAACGGCGTCCAGATAGTTTGGAAATGACGATCGAAAATATTTCCCATATAATTTTACGTATAAAATAACAGGGCATCGCTGACGCCGTTTTTTTTTCGATAATATTGTACTTATACAGATATTGATATCATAATAACGTCATTTATACTAATACTCTTCATATAAAATTTATAGTTTTTTGTTTGTATTTATATTACAATAATAATTGTTCTCAAATGAATTTGAACAATTTTAATGGGATGCTATAAAAATGTAATTGTTTTTTGCTCGATAAAATTCCTGAAATTCCAATATTTCTATAAACACGGATTTAGAGCATTATAAATGTTTTACAACATATTCAGGTCATAATATATTTTTATTTATTGTTTTCTATTTTTGATATACCGGGTGTTTCTCAAAAGTGACTCACCCCTATAACTTTTTTATTTTTTCAGATTCAGATTTCAGCTAAACGATATTTGGTATGTTAGTATATGACATAAATTTGGATTGGTTGACATATTCAGTTGTTTTCGGTCACTTCCTGTTTCACCGGAAATTACTATAATTGATTTTTATATGGCACCCACGGTATAATTTTACGTTATTCGATAGAAAATGACACTTTGAATAGAATGACATATCATATGTCGACTTTTGACATTTTCGTTTAAAAAAATCGTATTTTGAATTTCAATCTAGAGAATTTCAATCCATGACTGTGTTAAAAACACTAATTTTTAATCAAGGAGCCTTGGAAAACTAGATTTGATCGTTTAATGTTTTTCGTGTCTTGTCCTGGCCGGTTAGAAGATGTCCAAATCGTATTTTCAATCATATCTCGATTTTTTCAAATGGAACAAGGTATGCAATAGTATATTTGGAAAAAGCATTTTTTTTTATGAATAATTTGGTACCACAAATAATTTGTGAAAATGTCAAAAGTTGATATATGATATGTCATTTTCTATCGAATGAAGTAAAAAAAATACCGAGGGTGTCATTTAAAAATTAAAAGTTGTAGTCAGTTCCGGTGAAACAGGAAGTGACCGAAAACAATTGAATACGTCAATCAATCCTAATTTATGTCATATATTAATATACCAAATCTCGTTTTTTTTATCTGAAGAAAATAAAAAAAGTTACAGTGTAATATAATTTCGATTTCATTCTTTGATAGATAATGATTATTAATTTTGATCATTTTGTTAAAGACAATCCGGGGACAAACTGTATAGTCCAGGAGGTCAGTTTTGTCCAAAAGTTTTATTCAAGTGGTTTTGGTACTTTGATAAGTAAAATTTATTTCTTGTTTGCTCAATAATCCATAGCGTCGTTAATGGTCGCCATAGTAACCCAGAATTTATGTCAGAGAGAACACTAATAACTAAAGTGAGAGAGACCGATCAACGTTAATTTTTGAAGACTGTGTTCGTGGCGCGGCCTTTGGCGTCTAACCGGAACTATGAGCGCATTATCGATATAGTAGGTTGCATTCATACCTATATACTAGCGCCAAAAATTTAAAATTTGTATATTTGAACCGAATCTTAATCTTTCAAGTTTATAATAAGAAATCTTCGTAGTTTTTTTAGATTATTTTGTTGACAACGAAAATTTATTATTAGACTTAAAGCATTAAAACCTATAAATAAAATACTGTGTAGGAACATAATAATTTATTTAATTCCATATACTCCTTGCCATACTCCAACTCAAGGCTGCAATCTTCAGCATCTTTTTTATCTAACTTGGTTGGGAGTGAACAGGGAAGCACGGTTGGGAGCTCGCACAGATTATCAGTAGTTATCCCGTAGATATTCGATGTTTTTGATAGTCTTTATTCTTTAACAAGAACCTAGCAGTTCAAGAAAATAATTTGTATTACTGGAAATAATACTAGGTATAATACCAGATAATACCTATATGTCGTTCCATAGGTATCAGAAAAGAATGTGATGTTTTAAATTAAAAAAATTAAATTAGTAATGTACGATTATTATGTGCACTCACTATTACTATTAGGTACGTTAAAATTTTTACCTAGATAAAACTTACCTTTAAAGGAAACGTTTTGTCTGGGTCTCAACCACAAAACAAAACTTACAAAAATGCCGAATAGTCGTTGCATCTGAAATAATCAATAATGACAATAATCTTCTCTTCTGACAATCTAAAAGAACAGGCACATTCAGTTAAAAACAATTTATTACTCCGATTTGCTCCGATTATCAACAGATTTTAGTTATCTCCTTCTAGAGCTAAGAAATAGAAAAAGCTACTGACAATCTAATTCATCCTGTCAAATGTTTACCTTGCAAAGATGAAAACTTCCTTTTTTGACCGCCTAAACGCTATGCGCGTCTGGAATGCGCGGTGAAAAAATAAACTTGTTTACGAAATGCCCTATTCCACAAGACCTCTCACTTTAGTTATTAGTTTCTCTCTGATTTATTATCTTCCACTTTTAGAATCATTTAATTTATTCTCGTTATATGATTTTTATACCTATGTGTTGTTTAGGAAAAAAACTCAATTAAAAAAGGTCTATACCTCTGTGATCTCGTCAAAAAAGTCCTTGGTATTTCGCCACTTATACTGCAAGAAGATCTACAAAATAAAATAGTTATTTTTTTTTGTAAATACTGCAGCGTTAATCCAACGGAGACCAACTTGTCAGTGATTTACTAATAAACAAACTTGCCCAACTGACAAAAAAATGCTTAACGTTTCGGGAAGTACTCTTCCACTCGTCGCGCGTCGGATGCAAAAAAAACACAAAGAAACAAAGAAAAAAGCTATTTAAAATATCTAAACTCTGATCTAAATACAACTATTCGAGAACCCTTTAGTTTTTCAACAGACACGTCTAAAAAAACCGTTGACGTTCTGTTAAATGCTGTTAAAATTAACAATTACTACCTGATAACAATTACATAATTAATGAGGTAAAACTAAAAAGCCTCAAACTTTCTGTATGATTATTTTTTCAATTTGTTCTTAATTTTTACTTATGTTATGTTCAGATAATAAGAAATAATAATAAGAAACGATAATCATATATTACCACAGATTATACAGATTATAATCTTTGTTTTTTCTTTATTGTTTTTCGTGGTTCCAATTTTCGGAATCGGGCACTACTTAGGTGACTAGTTTGCGCACATAGCACGCCCACTTATGGTCTCTAAAATTGTGCACAGCGCCTGACCGGCACAGTTATTAGAGAGATATCGGAAAACCGAATAGCGTCATCCAGTATTTACGTATTTTCACAACCTGGTTACGATATGCGCGAGTCAACGCAACAGCCGCTAATAACGTTACCGCCTGACGTAATTTGCGGATCAATTACACCAAGCGCTCTTTCTAAATAACCTCTGATAACGTTTAAAAATTGCTTAAATGGGCATGTGCGGGTATTTGACAACCGGAGCCGGCCGGCGAGATCTTTTATTTTAGGTTATGTTTGAATTGTTTTGAATTATTGCTTTAGTTTTATTAGGTAATTTGATATTTAAGTAGCTGGGATTAGTTTTAATTAAATAAATATGGCCCAAAATATGGATTCCACCTCTTCCAATACTAAAGAACCTATAAAGAGTCTTAGGTTTACAGCAGATGACGACTTAGCCCTTCTAAGAGAATTTGTTGCTTGTTGCCTTAAACCCACTGGCAGACGTTGAATAATAAAGCCCTGGAAATAAGCACTTTAGCACTTTAGTTTTAAAATACCTAGTAAACAAAACAATTTCAAAGTTTTAAATTCAAAGTTAGGTTAAGTTTAAATAGCGGACGCGACGCGATCAGAATTCTTTCCGATCCGATAACTATAAACGAAGAGAGTTAATACCACCTCACGTAAAGGAAATAACACCTGGCCTTATTAACGTCCATGCACGCTATTCGGTTTAGCGATATCTCTCTATTACGCTGTTTATTGTTATTTTACGCGAGTTTATTTTTGCGCACAGGAAATTTGACTCGTTTGCACATCGTCATAAAAAACAATTTTCGTACCACGAATTAGGGACAAGATTTTTTTATAGGATACCTAATCTGTGATATTACTAACCTCTACAGTCTCTACAGATGCCTGAGCAATACATTTATTTTTATTAGACTGTATTAAAAGAGCCTCTGAACATGCACTAACTTTTGGCAGTATTCCCATTTGTATAGGACCTCCAATTAAAAAATATTCCCATATGTTGCATACTTAGTGGACCACCCTGTATATCAATATTATCATTTTTTTACAGGTCGAGGCGCAGAATTCACTGGTATTGATAACGAAGGTATAGATTTCTCGCAACTGGAAGATTTCATTAACAGCGATGGCAACAATACTCAAAATTTTACGTTTGGGGACTCATTAACTACAACTCCCTCAGGAAAACTGCTAAATGTAATAGTGGAAAATAAACGAAACAATAATGGGTAAGAATTTTTGGTATCTCATATTTATTAAGAAAAAAATGACACTTTTTTTGATTCTAGGCATTCATTGCCGGACAGTCCACCTGATTCAAGCTCAGAGCATCCGTACAGTCCCCAAGATGGCTGCGAAGCCCCCCTGAATACTCCAGAAAGCATATACACTAATCTTTCGGGCCTTGGACAGAACATTTATAAACAAGGCATTTTGAACCCAATTCTCACAAATAACTTAATATTGGGATCGCATATAGTTGTAACTGATCAAAATAGTGAAGGACTTATTGATAGCAATGGAATAATACAGGTAACAATACGTTGTTATCCTACATTTAATATAATTATATAGATCATATCAAATAAACTTTTAGTCACGTGATTAAGCTTGACCTGCACAGCGTTGCCGATTTTTGCGTGTTTTCTTTTAATCAAAATAATTTAGGAAACAAAAATGAATTTATTATAAATATACAAACAGTTATTATTTACATCAACAAAACTCACCTCCTTGACAGCACTTGAGGGACATAAAGGGACATTACTACCGTTTTCCCGTTCAAAATATTCTGACTTTTTTGCAACGGCTGTTAAAGTATCTTGTATACTTCGCACTAAAAGGGGTTCTAAAAAGAACAATGTTCCATTGCAAGGTCTGCTAGTGAAAATTTTTAAGCTTAAAGTATAACAACACAATTCATTTAAACCAAAAACTCGTAATACAAAACTAAAGTTTCAAAACGAATGTCAATGTCAGGAAATAAATAAATGTGGCAACTGGACATTTTTTACAACAGAGCTATCACCTGAATCCCCAGCGGGAAATTTAAGTTCCAGTCAGTCAACCCGGTGCCAAATATGTCCATGGTTGGCAACAATGAATTTAAAAATCGCGTCCTCGATTACATGACTAAAAGTTTAATTGGTATCACTCATATACAGGGTGAGTTTTCTACGATGTTCTCTATGGGTATCTCGGAAACTACTGGAGATAGAGAGTCGGTTAAATGGGGAAAGAATTGCAGTTTTGTGGGTCATAAATATGCACCTTTCAGATTTTTGAAAAAGTTACTAGATATTTACTTTAGGCTTAACTAGATATTTCGAAAAACAACAAATTTTGGCTATTTTAAAAATTGTCCCTAATTCCATTATAATCTATTTTAGACAAAAAAGTTTTCAGATAAAAGTTGTAGATAATCACATCCTTAATTAGATTGTGTTCTACTTCTTTTTCTAAAGTCTGTCATAGTTGGCCATGACTTCATAAAAAGCGGAATTTTTTAAGATTTTCAGTGATATAAACTATATGTTTTTTTTTCGAAAAATTACTGAGTTACAGCCAATTCATATCATTTTTAAACAATTTCACTTAGTTAGCTATGGAAAAAACTCCAATCGTCGTTGCTCTTAGAAATGTCAAATTGTCACATCCAAACTTTGTAAATCAAAATAACCAAAAATTGTAAATATGAATTTTTCAAATGAAGAAAAGCGTGTAGGATTATTTCTTGGCCATACATTTTCGAGGATACGTTACATACGCTTTTCAGAGAACAGTTTTCAAGACATGTTAAATTTAAAGTCTCGCGCATCAATAGAGTGGTTCCAACGTGACTTTCATTATGACACTCCCAACCATAATAAAAAAAAATGTTAAAATTTTTTTATATCATAATTATTTAAACTCAAGGATATGAAGAGGTGGACCAACTGCATGGGCCTCCTTGATCACCTGACCATCTATTTTAGATTTTTTTATGCGATATATTTTTTGAATATTTTCTAAAATAACTTAAAGTGTATGTAGTGATATTATTTTTTTAAGTTTTAGTTTGTGTAATGTAAATTCTAAAGAACTGTTTAATAAAATATTCTGTCTCTTTTTATAAGTTATAAATTATAATAATTAAATAAATAACATAATAAAAATACAATGCCAACTAAGTGAAATTAGTCAAGAAAGATAAGAATTGGCTATAACTCAGTAATTTTTCGAAAAAAAAAAAATATTATCGCTGAAAAGCTTAAAAAAATGGCGATTTTTATGAAGTCATGGCCTGCTATGGTTTCCATTTAAAAAAATATAAGTTTGTGTCATATGTCAAAAATACAGGCTTTAGAAAGAAACGGAGAACACAGTCTCATTAAGGATGTGATTATCTACAACTTTTATCTGAAAACTTTTTGTCTAAAATAGATTATAATGGAATTAGGGACAATTTTTAAAATAGCCTAAATTTGTTTTTTTCAAAATATCTAGTAAGCCATGAACTTTTTCAAAAATTCGAAAGGCGCATATTTATGACCCCAATAGAACATCGTAGAAAACCCCCCTGTATGTATATATTTGCAGGACAACAGATTATTGGTGACCCAGGATGTGAGAAATGCCAATCTATTAGGAAATAGAATTCTGACAGATGGAATATCCAGTGACCACGAAATTATTCTTAGTGATAACGTACAAGGTATATTTTATCTCATTACACAGCAATTCTATTTTTTATTTCTTTTAATTCTGACATCTGATTTCAGATCCAAACCGTCAGATACTTTTACCCACTGTCCAGACAGAACCAAACTCGAATTACAGCAGATCTCTCTATGAACCACAAAAAGATTTTGTTGAAGACAAGCATATCGTCCATTTGGGTTTTACGTCTGGTATAGAAAGCCTACCAAGGTCTTCTAATCTGGATAGCGCAATAAACAATGTAGAGAACAATATAGAAAATATTCCTAGCGTCTATACCAACTTACAGAATGTACCTAAGAAGAGGAAACTTAGTCAGGATAGTGCCTTAGTTAAGAGCGAACCAGGTAGTGTAAATTTTTCTATTAAAAAATACAGGGTGTCCCAGGGATGAGCGCGCATTAGAAGTTTCTAGGGAACTACAATACCTAGATCGGAGATTTTTTGCACATCATTGTTTCACGAGATCTATCGATTAAAAATATTTTCAATATGACGGCAGTTCTGGAAATACCGGAAGTTGACAGCAACTTTTTTATTTTAAATGGGTACCCTGGTTTTTAATGCATACTTAAATTCTGTGTAAAATTTTATGACTTTTGATGTTAAACACTGTATACCAAACATTAACCGATTTTGAGAAGAAAAAAAAAATTTTTTTGGACGAAAAAAACCGCCTGTCAAAAAAAATTCCCTATATAAAAATATAGCCTAAACGTCAAATTTAATGATAACCACAGTCACTGCAGCATAAAGAGAACATATGTGGCTGTCTATTTCAAATTATTCAATTGTTCGAATATCATATAATAATGGCGGTAGCTGTCATGGAATTGGGCGATTAAAAATTATCAAAAATCATTTTTTTCAAATGGAAACCTATGATGAAAACCCCCTTTTTTTATTTCACTAGATCAGTGAAAAGGTTTTTTAATTCGTTACTCTTTTTGACTATACATGTTCCTATATCTAAAACAAATTGTTTTTAAGTTATTTTAGATTTAGTTTTAAATCTATGATTTAATCTAGCTTCTTGATTTTATCTCTTGATTTTATCTAGCTTCCTTGACATTAAGTGTCAATCGATCAGACAATTTATTTCCGTCTGTCAGAAAACTAATTATTTGAATTTCCTGTATTATAAATACTGCCTGCCTTAAGAGTTTAAAAAGTGTATTTATAAAAATACTAGCGTGTACCAGCGACTTCGTTCGCGTCGAATTAATCATTTGTAATGGTGATGATAAAGCAAAGCAAAAATTTCCATTAACATACAAACTGGATAAAATTTTCTCACATTTATGTCAGCATGAGAAAAAACAATATGGCGATATTCTTATATAACTTGGTAATATTTGAGGGGTAGTTTCATCTCGTTGGAATTTGACTTTCCATTTGCCAAAAATAAGCTTTTTACGTCAAGCAGTTTAAGCAGAATCGTGGTTAAGAGATTACCCAACTTTTTGGAACATCCTGTATGATTTTTTTAAAAATTTCAAAATACGTAAAAGAACCAAATAAATTATGCTTGTCCAAGCGTTTTAAAACGACTAACAGTTTTTTAAATAACAAATATTGTAATATTTGAGGGGCGTTTTCACCCTCTTGGAATTTGAGATTCGAGAAACCCCTCCTTATTGTCATTGTTGCAACTTGCAACTGCGTTAATACGCCTGGCGGTGACCGCCTCATACTCTTTCAGATATTTAGCAGTAAAATAAAGAAACCTGTTATTTTTAAGCTGTTATTTTAAGCTGTTTTTTATAAATAACTATAACAGTTTCAACTGTTATCTAAAAATAACAGTTTTGCCCATCACTATAGGCTATACACATTTTTTGACAGGTAGTTTTTTTCGTCAAAAAATGTAAATATTTTTTTTAATTAATGTTAGGTATAGAGTGCGTGATATCAAAATTCATAAAATTTTAAAGACAATTTAAGTATGTAATAAAAAAGGTGCCCTTTAAAATAAGAAAATTGCTGTTAATTTCCGGTATATTTCCGGAAGTGCCGCTATACTGAAAATATTTTTAATCGATAGATCTCATTGTGAAACTATGTGATGTGTGTATATGATGTGCCAAAAATCTCCGATCCAGATATTGTAGTTCTCTAGAAACTTCTAATGCACGCTCAGCCTGGGACACCCTGTATATCTAATTTTATCTGACTATATTTTTTTAAATATAAAAAAATATTTCTAGAACATTGTACTTCAAGCCAACTGAGCCCTTCTGAGCAATTCGCCGCATCTATAGATGAAGAATACGCTTCTTCAGAGGCTTGCCTTTCTGAATCTCAGTATCAGTGCATAAGATTTAGTGCATTCCAACAGGCAAATTGGCATACATTATGCGATCAAAATCTTACCGAACTGTAAGTTTTTACGCTATTATTTTGTCCGACAGATGTCATGTTACAGAGAAAATTGTATTTTTTTTAGATCAATACCACACTACAGGGTGGACGCTGACAAAGGATTTAATTTTTCCAACGCAGACGATGCTTTTGTCTGTCAGAAGAAAAATCATTTTCAGGTAATTTTTTTTCATAAGTTAACTCAAGGGATGTGATAACCTAATTTTTTTGTACTATATTTAGTACATGTTGATATGGAAGAATGGTGTTACAATTGTATATTTCAAGTAAAATTTAAGCCATCTAAAAACTATTTTATGTTTATCGCGTAGGTAATTATTTAAGGAATACATGTCATGTAAGAAATGAATTAAAGACTGTTCAGCCATCGTTCAATGTTACGTCATCAATATAATATGTCAAATGTCAAATATGAGTTTTAAGGTGTGTCTGAGATCAGTTCATATTGTTTAAAAAAAATTAAGTACGTTCCTATATTATTGATTGGGCATGTTTGTTTTTTTTTCGGCATTTATTCATTTTTTCTTGAGCTCTTCATCAGTTATGATCCCTTTAGTTCCAATTCTTTGGACTGTTGAAATTCTTATTTCTAAAGCATCAGCAACACGCTATATTATTTAAAAAACGCTATGAATTTGTATATGACATAGGAATGTTACACCTTTGCATTGTACTTAATTCATATACGGCGTCCACGGACCAAGAGTGTTCTACCAGCGTCTCTTTCTCGAGAAAATTAATTTATAAGCTTAGTAATTAGTTTATTTGTTCATTTTGATTACATCTTTGAGGCATTTTGTTTGACCACAACAATTGATTTTTAATTTTGACATTGGTCGCCAATAGAATTATAACCCCAAATCAAATGACAGTGGCAATTACTAAAAAGAATCTGCAATTTATGAAATGCCGTACTGACGTCACCTGTCTCTTTCATCTGGTTGACAAGTGATTGAGAGAGTTCGACAATATATGACGTGACGTTGAACGATAGCTGGAACATTCTATACACTTTGTCTTTCCATCCTTGACTGTTACGTCATTATTTTCAACGCCATATTGGTTTGTCACGTATTTCCTGAATTGGTTTATAAGTCAACTAAATGGATGTGATTACCTAAAAATTTTGTACTAGAGTACATTTTTAATATGGAAGAATAGTGATAAAATAGTTTATTTCAAGCAAAGTTTTAGCGATCTAAAAACTATTTTATATGTATCCCCTAAGATAGGTTAAGGAATTAGCTCTAATATAATTAAATCTCAGTAAATATTATTTGTGTTTAGTATAGATTTTTTTTAGTAACTGGTACATTTTTCTGTCTATAGATAACCTGTCATGTACAACTTTTGGGCGATGCCCAGTTTGTCAAAACGCCCGATGGATTCCAGAAAATATCCAGCTTTCACATACATTTCTATGGAGTTAAACACGATTGTCCTACGCAGACTATCAGGGTTGAACAAAGTCAAAGTGACAGAAGCAAAAAACCATTCCATCCTGTACTGTAAGTTAATGAAAATTATTCCTTGATGAAAGTAGGTATGGTTTAATTTTTTCTGTTCGGATTTTCAGTGTTGAATTGGTAAATTCGCAAGTAACGAAAATAACAGTTGGGCGGTTACATTTTAGTGAAACAACGTCGAACAATATGAGAAAAAAAGGTAAACCCAACCCTGAGCAACGTTATTTCCAAGTAAGTATTTTATTATTATTTATCAGGGAGTAACGTCAATATTTGGATAAAAATTTAATTTTGATGTCATATGACTCGTAGAGGGCGCCACCTACATATTTTTAACTGCTTTGAAGAGTAATAACTTTTCTTCCGTACCTGTACAAAAATTACTGAGTAAAAAAATATACATTTACGACGAACTTTTAATTTTTTTAAAATAATCATAAATTTTTCTTCTAAAAATTGAAAATAAAACAATTTCTGTTGAAATTTTGGCACAAAACATTTCAAATTTATGATTTCACTGTAATAATTATTTAGTTAACATGTTTAATTTATGTCAGTGATGACAGGTATTGATAATTTAGATTCCAAATATCTTCGGGAACCATTACTTGTAACGATTTTCTTTTTACATGAAACCATCCAGGTTTTATGTAAAAAAAACGTCGTAAATGTATATTTTTTTACTCAGTAGTTTTATACAGGTAGGGATAAAAAGTTATTAGTCTTCAAACCAGTTAAAAAATATGTAGGTAGCGCCCTCTACAAGTAGAAGTCATATTGACATCAAAGTCGAATTTCTCATCTCAAAAAACTCCTAGATACCAAATTTTATCCAAATATTGACGTTACTTCAGAAATTATTTGGAAAAAATTGAACAAAAATAAAACTTCTACGTCCTGTATCTCCGAAACTAAGCATTTTAGGACATACATTTATACGGATTTTTTTACGTATTTTTATCTCCAGAATATGTTGCCGAAGTTTCCGGAATACAGTTCGGACCACCCTGTATATTATATTTCTAGAAATCTACGCTTATGCGCAGTAGAGGAAAAAAAATAGTACCTTTTGTAATATCCTTAATTTTTTGTAGTTAGTGGTTGGTCTCCATGCTCACACATCAAATGGAAACTTCCCTATTGTCAGTCACGCTAGTCAAAAAATTATTGTTAGGGTAAGAATAAAAATATTTGTATAGAATGCTGAGCCATCGTTCAACGCTAAGGTTCAACGTCGCGTCATATATTGTCGAACTCTCTCAATCACTTGCCAACCGGATGAAAGAGATTGGTAACGTCAATACGGCATTTCGTAAATTATTGCAGACTCTTTTTAGTAATTGCCATTGTCGTTTGATTTGGGGTTATAATTCTATTGACGGACATCGATCAATGTCAAAATTCAATTTTTTTATTGCAAAAATGCCTCAAATACCTAGGGTGTATTCCGTTGCTTACCTTGGTTATGGTTTTATGTTCCGTTTCTATCGGTTTCCTGAAAGTTTTCTTATTACGGAACACGGTTCCTGAAAAATTCGGTTATAAACTGGTTTTTCTGGTTTTGTTTGTCAATCAGTGTCATTTATGTGACAGAAATCAAGCAAATATTGGAAGTTCGAGAGAAATTCTCATTTTATTTCTAAAATTTGTAATAATATTTTGTATTTACATCCAAAAGCAATGGAGGTAGGCAGTAAAGGTAAATAAATTTCATTAACTAAAATAGAATGACTTTTTAGAACCATTTAAACTTATCATGCAGCCATTCTTTCTTATAGCCAGTAACATTTATAGAAAACATGAAAAACAAGACAACAAGTAATCGTGTGAATGTTTTGTAAGCTATAAAAATATAAATATTGATTAGATTTGTTTATTTATTATTGATCTGTTTTAATATTGGACCTGCAAATCTTCACTTGAGCTGTCTAACGAGTTTAACGGTTTATTAATAAAGTACTTT